ACAAGTTGCTTTCCTATTGGTCTTCCTACCAATATGACCAAGTTGCGAAAACAAGGTCAAACAATTTCTTCACTAATTAAGTTACATTCGTGCATACATAATAAGGCAAAATCTGTGAAAAACCTTAGTTTAACAAGCCCCAGGACAACAGAAGATAGAAAAAACATAAAGATATGAAAGAAGTGTAGTTTTACTAACCAAGTTATCCGCATAGGCGAAAGGAAGGAGCAGCATGTCAGCGACATGCTGTTGGACGCATTGAAGTCCGGCAGTTAGCAACCCAGCGTGTACACTTGCTACCGTCATCGCAGCAGTTCCTCGAGCCCCTGAGACAAGGCCAAGCTCTGATATACAATCAGTCACAGCAGCACTGATTTGCTCAAGAGCGTGACATACCCGATCGTGAGGTGCAGATGACGACACGAAGTCATGGTCTTTGTTTTCATCATGGTGAGATTGATTGATCGGCGAATGGAGAGACGATGATTTGTGATCTGGCCTTGTTGGGTAGAGGAGTCCTGCCGTCTGGACAACAGCTACCTGGACACGCAGCTCGGCTAGCCTAACGCTCCAATCGCTGGCGTTAGGACCAAATAATTCAGACAGAAGTAGACGGATGTTGGAAAGTAAGCGGCTTTGGTTACTTATTGAGCCTAGTTCGGTATCCGAGCCTACAGCTGAGGGTACTATAGAGCTGCAATCGGGTAGTCGAGAAACTAGATCTGGCAGCACAATATTGCAGAGACGAATGGCACTCTCATGGTCAGTCAATGTCAGTGCCAGTTTGCTGAGATTGTATCTATAAGTCGTCACGATAATGTAATCGCATATAAAGTATTCTCGGTAGGAAATAAAATAACAATATATAGGCGATCTCTGAAATGTCGACAAAATATAATTCCAAAGGAAGAAATAAAATAACAAGCCTAAAAAGTTGCAACGAAAAATAAAACAAAGTAACGAATTTAGCTAGAGCGGATTTAATTATGGGCTAAGACTTTGAACTCTAAATCAAATTACATTTAAAACAGGATACGTAAGAAGCTGCCTTCAAATTCACAGCCAAATGAAGTAACTTTACTTTAACAATATTGAAGCAGGCAACTACAATAAAAGTATGCAAAAAAGTTAAATGGGCTGTAAATTTTGGTTGATCAAGACGATCATAGGAAAAAATATTTATTAAAAAAAATCCAAAAGTGCAGGCCGATTGCCGATGATCTATTCTACCCCACATAAGCATATAACAACTGTATAAAAGCATTAATAGAAAATAGGATCGCTGCTTCTAATAAATAAAACTTTAAATTCGAATGTGAATGCCAAGATGGCGTGATATTGCGTATTGACTTAAACTACTCTTGGATATTGGATATGGGCCCAACTTGTGTTCTAAGACGTTCAGGTATGTAAAGCAGGAAAAACATGAGAATTTGGAGCTATGAATTTAACACTAAACGGGTTGTAATAATCTCTCCAAATAAAACCATGTATGGAAAATAAGTCCAAACCAAGTCCATATATTGCAGTAGCCCCTTGCGTAAAATAAATGATATGATATTTTTTAGCATATGATTCTTAATACGGATCCAGTTACCAAACCAAAACAGCAAGATATTAAGACTAAGATGTAATGGCCTCTTTGGTAGCAGTCTCTTTTCGAAGTATAGAAGTGGTCTGACCTCGTTTTCGCAATTTTTATTAGGGAGAGTTGAACGTGCCTTGTCCGAAGTCGTCTATTATCATAATTTATGGCGTCGGACCACGACGGAGTGATGGTCCAACTATTTCAGCAGAAACTAAGTCAAGGGACTGACTTTACTTGTCTCATTGACGAATTGTAGCTTGGTGCCAAGAATGACAAGGCTCACTGACGATGCCGGC